GAGAAACAGGACTGGACTGCTGGTGAGTGGTCCAAAGTCATGTTCTGTGATGAAAGTAAATTTTGCATTTCCTTTGGAAATCAAGGTCCCAGAATCTGGAGGAAAAGAAGAGAGGCACTTCATCCACGTTGCTTGAAGTCCAGTGTAAAGTTTCCACAGTCAGTGATGGTTTGGGGTGCCATGTCATCTGCTGGTGTTGGTCCATTGTGTTTTCTGAGGTCCAGGGTCAACGCAGCCACATACCAGGAAGTTTTAGAGCACTTCATGCTTCCTGCTGCTGACCAACTTTTTGGAGATGCAGATTTCATTTTCCAACAGGACTTGGCACCTGCACACAGTGTCAAAGCTACCAGTACCTGGTTGAAGGACCATGGTATCCCTGTTCTTAATTGGCCAGCAAACTCTCCTGACCTTAACCCCATAGAAAATCTATGGGGTATTGTGAAGAAGAAGATGCAATACACCAGACCCAACAATTCAGAAGAGCTAAAAGCCACTATTAGAGCAACCTGGGCTATCATAACACCTAGCAGTGCCACAGACTGATCGACTCCATGCCACGCCGCATTGCTGCAGTAATACAGGCCAAAGGAGCCCCAACTAAATACTGAGTGCTGTACATGCTTATACTTTTCATGTTCATACTTTTCAGTTGGCCAACATTTCTATAAATCCTTTGTTTTTATTGGTCTTCAGTAATATTCTAATTTTCTGATATGCTGAATTTGAGATTTTCATTTGTTGTCATTTGTAATCATCAAAATTAAACGAAATAAACATTTGAAATATATGAGTTTGTATGTAATGTATGAATATAATATACAAGTTTCACTTTTTAAATGGAATTACTGAAATAAATCTACTTTTTCATGATATTCTAATTTTATGACCAGCACCTGTAATCTGAAGGATTTACTTGGTGTTGAGACGATCAACATAAACTGCTATCTGGTGCTGCAGACCTCATGTTATAGGCTACGACGAGCCAAATGAAAGCTTTCAAAAGACTCAAAGCTACTATTATTTTGTTTCAGGTTGGGTCAAACATTTAGGATCCAAAGAAACTTTAAATGTCTGTTGACTTGTTTCTGCCTGGGTGAGTTGTGCTGTTTTAAGAAGTTAGCCTACACTCTAAAAATGAAATGTTGGATTTACTTAACCATGTTATGTKACCTGGTTCCACTTAACTGAGTTGAGTAAATTCAAAGCAACATGCTCATTTTCTTTGGCTAAAAACTGGTATATTGCTTTGAATTTACTTAACTCAGTTAAGTGGAACCAGGTCACATAACATGGTTAAGTAAATCCAACATTTCATTTTTTACAGTGTATGATAACAACACTRTCACTAATGCTAACAACAAGTTAACTCCTGTTATTTCTATGTGCTTGGATCTATACTTGCAAATAATTTATTTAGCTTCTGTAAACCCAAATTCAAGTAACGATCCAGGAAAATATCTGACAATGTGATTTAAAGTTCGATACGATCCTGACCTGTTAGAAAATGGTCACTGAAAACTGTTGCATTGTTTGTTTCCGCACCTCCTGTTTTTAGCCATGTATCGTTGATCCACTTTTGTCATCTTTTTTCTGCAAGCTTTTATAAATTTAACTCCCTTGTGACACACTATTTTCGGAACATGAAAAAATCTTTGAAATTTCTCCTGATTAGAGAGGTTGCAACAACTGTACACGGCACAGAATTTAGGCATTTTGACATTGAATCAACAGAAGGAAACATGGCTTCATTTACTTCCTGCCCCCCATCTGTATTTCATGACATCAATACTACATAATCTGCAACCCAGCAATTCTAATGTTTCATATTTACCAGGAAGTGGCGTTAAGGGTAAACTCCCTGGTCTTTATTAATGAAAACATGATATGAACTTTGACTCTTCTTCACCTCTCTGATAGTGGCTCAAAACGTTCTAAAAAAACAAGATTATCCCATATGGACTGGACTGTCATACAGACATTCCCCTTTGACATCACTTCCTGTTACTTCACATGCAAATATCTCAACTGTTCATCTCAAACTTTTTTGCAATATGTTATCAATGTTATCTTTCTAAAAATCCATTTACATTTATTACAAAAAAAGTCACAGGCACTTTAAAGCAACTTACATAAAAATCTATCCAATTGCACATTCCTTYAGAAATGATTGACTCTTGTGTGTCTGTCAGCACACAACAAAATTAATGTAACAAAAAATATGAACAGAGAAAGAGAGATTTTATTAAAATGGGTGTGAAATAGCCAGTTAATAACCTCTAGCAATAATCATAGCAAATATAACTCCTGGGAAAATTGTTCAAGAAAGGGATGTACTTCTATAACTGATTAGTTTTCAAGTTAGTTACCACAGATTATCAACCCTACACCCAAAATATCTATGACTCAGTTTCAGGTATTTTGCTAAAATCATGTGTGGTAGTAGCTGAGGATCTTCCCAAACACATACTCTACAGACTTACAAATTTCACAATATCTTTCTTTAAGTTCATTAATGGGCTACAATGGAATATTAGGACCACTCTACAAGATTTATTTATTGGAATTACAAGAATAAAGTCATTTTCCTACATTACTGAGTCGACTCGCACCTGATGTGGACAGCCTCTAATGCAWGTCACTGTGTTTAAGATGTAGTCGGCGATTACTGTTGGGTCACTGTTAGTTTAATATGCTTCCATCCACATTATGTGATGACTAATTTTGTCAATGCAGCCATTAAYTGCAATGGCATAAGGCTTCGGTTTAACATATGAATCCATATAGTTGTTTGCGCAATCGTTTCAAACGATTTTCGGTCTGCAATGGTATCGRATTTCCATATTTGTAAAACCGATGCAAAACATTCCTCATTTAAACTCAGTGGTGTGACTGTTTTTTTGTGTAGGCATTCTCAATATAATGACTTTATTTACATGATTAAAAAAATCTTGTACTGCAACCCTAATACCCTGTCGTAGTGGGCAAACATTCCTTAAAAACGGCTGGTTTTACTGTAATATATTAATTTTTTTGCATGCATGTCTGCTTTTGATAATACATCCAATTTCCAAACTCACTTTTATAAATAAATTAGGAATAAATGGGATAATATCCATCTCCCTGCCTCATGCTAGGGTTACATTTTAACTCGTGGGACAACTTGACTAGTGTTAGCT